TGCTTGATTGTGGTTCCTATTTTATCTCTGTCTCTCTCCCACGTCCCTTACCTCTGACCATCCGTTCAGGTACAGCTAATTGCTCCCAGAGGGCTTCATCGTCATCGTTCTCCTGTTTCTGTAAGTTTAATGGTTCTTCCATGCGTGTGAGTTTGCCTAATGGTGTCTTTAATAACACGGGGGCTTCGTTAAGCTGCGAGGCGGTCGTGTCCCTCCAGATGGGAGAGGGTTCATTCCATGCTGGCTCATGATGGATGGCAAATGCCTGCTTAGCCTTCCCCCTGCTCGAAGGAAAGGTGACCTCACGGGCTACTATGTGGTTGGCTCGATATATGGCTCCATATCGATCCTGCTGGGTCCGTAAGTCCCATTGTTGGTGGTAAAGGGACAGAGAGGCTGCTTTTTAATCTAAAGACACACGCAGGGAAGAGGCTGAGGTACACTGAACTCTTCCCCAAGTCTGGTGCTCTATCCAGATCTGTTTATTCATGCTGCGGTCATGTTTGCTTCTCTGAGGTTTATATCTGAGTTTCCCTCAGCCTGATCATCTACCACAGCACAGAAACATGATCTGGGTCTTGGCCAGAATACCGTCAATTCTGTCGTGTTCCATTTGTTTAATATAGTGCTGGTGTTTGGGTTTTGGGGAAAAATATTAATAGGTGGATGAGCACTGAGCAAACAAAAGCATCACCCGCCAATCTTCTACAAACCAGGTAGGAGAGCGGAGCTCGCATCTGCATGCGTGTGTCCATGCCCACTCAGCATTCCCCATCCCGTGAGGCTGCAAATAAATCTCACTCCTTTACGTAGTTTAGGGTCGACTTGCTTGTTCTCCTCTAGGAAATCTACCCAATTTGCAGCTGAAAGCCATGATACTCTCTTAGCTTCAAGGGTGCCTGGCTGTTGCCTGTGTAAATCCAATGGGGAAAATCCTAAAAGCCCTGACTGCACCACCTTGAACCAAGGCCCAGGCAGGGTGCGCTTTTGACCCGATAGTTCATGCCCCAAGTGTGTCAGGCACTAATGGCATAATGGTTTTCATTGTTGTTGCACCTTTGCATTAATTCTGAAAAGGCGGGATGAAGAACATTGAAGGTGGTGTGGTATAGCGTTCTCCCCCGCTTCATTCTCTTAATGGTTCTTTTTGTGTGTAGTCAATTAATCATAACTGACTGAATTGGATGAGGGAGTCGTACACTGCAGAGTGATGCTCTCAGCAGTGATTAAAAGCCTGCAGAAGCTGGGATCCCAGTGCGGCTCCACAGTCTGGACCATTAATGGAGTGTTACAGCTTCAGCGTTTCAAGGGTTGTGTCAGCGTACTGTCCCAGTGGCTTGGCTTTTGTAGTACTGAAAGGTGGCTTGTTTGCGGGGGTCAAGTCACTGTGGGCGTATAACTTTGATTTTGAGTGGGCTCCCTTTGCTTTTTGGCTGATAATATCAGATCCCACTGCTGTTCTGTCTCGTCACCATGAGATTTAAAAATTCTGCAGTATTTTTTTTCTCTCCTACATTGCTTTGACCTCATTCCTGGCCTACTTCTGTATCCCTGGGAAAATCAGTCCAATAGAAACAAAAGTAGTGATTCAAAATATGTATTTTTTTCTTTGCAATAAAAATGTTTGGCAGGTTTCTTTTTTGCATTCTGACAGTGGTAGTGTGGTTTGTGGTGTCCACCTGTGTTCCCTGGCTCTTGTATGATTGGCTTGTCCTCCTCGTGGAATGTTCAGCCTTTTCTGGAAGATTTTGGGTGGTATGGTGAAACCAGTGCCTTCCCTTGTGTGTTGACCATTTATTTGAGTTAGTTATAGGGGCAAGCTGCTTTTCATTCTGTGATGTTCACATTGTGGTGTCTGCTGTTGTCCAGTTTGGATGCTGTCTGTGTTCAGTCAGGCTCACACCGTCCATTCATTGCAGTCTATGAGAATAATGATTGCTAAGGTTATAATTGTAGTTCATTTATATGCTTGGCTTGTTAATTGCAGACTGTGTCTGTCTCTGAAGCCGTAATTATCACTTTGCTTTGGAAAAAAAAGGATGATTTAAATTATGTACATATTTAAAATCCCCCTGCGTTTGCATTGCCACATAAGATCTATGTGTGCACATCTGTGCATGTGTGTGTGCTTTTGATTAAAAAATAAAGAAAAAGCCATTGCTGGGTCGCTCATTTCGAGGTCCTTAGGCTGTTCCGTTCACCCCCTGCTGCTGTAATCTGGCTGTTGGGCCCCACTCCCCCTTGGCTCTAAATGCAGTTTGATTTGTAATGCAGTTTTTCTTCTTCATGAGGCTGCTTATCTAATGGTTGCCCCTCTAGCCTTTCCATACCCTCCCAGAGACTCAGGAAGAAGTCTTCCTTGCCCATTCTTTTCTGAACTCCATTGCGCAGCAAAGTCTCGCGCAGGTGGCACTGTGCCCCCCGGGAAGGGTGCTGCTTTTGGCACGGCCTAACTGGTGTGCTGCATACAGCAGCCTGCTTGTTATCCTTTCACAGTGCAGGCTGACGTTGGCAGTGGCGTGTGCAACCCTCACTCTCTGCAACCCTTCTCTAATTGCATTTCCCTGCACTTTGGCTGCCTGTCAGCTGAGATGCACTTTGGGAATATTGATGCACCCATCAGGGAGATTGCTTTCGTGCGTGGCCCCGCCTGTGCAGCACGAGGCTTACTTCATTGTAAGGCACTGTGGACGGGCGGGGCTATGTGCTTGGGGCAAGTCTTACTGATGATCGTGGGTAGGGGTGGAGTCTGGGCCACCGTTTTTGCTGGGCAATCGACACTGCCCTGTCTGTCTCACACAGTACCCCTTGTACCATTATTTCAGGATATGTAGCCCTTTAACACTCTGCCTGAAACAGATTGACAACTCACTGGGCTTTCATAAGTAGCCCTGAACCTAAAACTCGCAGCAAGCTTTAGATGGGAGTGCCGGTAGAACCACTTTAAAATGAGTCATTATGTTGGTTATCATACGGACATGATGTGACCTTTTCAGGAAAGGTCCAGTGGGGAAGAAGGGTATGCAGATGTGTGTGGGATGTGTTGCCCTTGGTGCCTGTCCCGCCCTGCCAGTGTGAATGCTGGCCTGGGACAGTGAGGATCTCAGTGCCTTGAATTTTTGGCTCTCCGCTGGCCTTTTTTTGGGTCATGGCCCTCTGAGGGGAACCTCCCGCTGCACTCAGCCCTTCCTGCAGGCTTAAATCAGTCTATTACCTACTTTCTGCTCCTGGGCCAGGGGTACCGCTGTGCTGGCCGGGGGCAAACTGGGACACATTGGGGCTTCTTTTGCTAGGTCTCCTTGAAACTTGGCCTGACTTTCACCGCGGGGCAGTGTGGAGACTCAGCCGCATGGTGTTTTCACGGCGGCCTGCCTCCACGGGGTGGTGGAACTCTCCAAAGTAGAAGTAGTAACAGCGCCAGTTCTCTGTGGTAAATGGGGGAGCCGGACAGTAACATTGGACATTTCCGCGGCGTGTGTTAATGTCTGGTAATCAGACGTGTCACAGTGGCCTGGCGCACAGTTGCTCAGTCAGGTACGATGGACCAGAAGTCTGATTGGACATCCTGGCACGCTTTCGAGTTCACTGGTGTGTAACATTAGTTTGGATCACTAGTTCTCTTACATGAAGTTTTAGCATTAAATGTTAGCATGTTTGTCTGTGCCAGGAAAGCCCTCTGGGGAAGCTCCTGCAGAATGCTGGTGTTGGTGGCATTTCCCAGGCCAGACTCCTGCAGCACCATTGCATGGCCACTGTTATAAAATAATACCTCTTGGTTTCCTACAGTACATGCCAGGCTCTCAGGTCAATGTCCAGCTAAATGCGTACTGATTTTTTTAGTGATAGCATGGTGTTTTGTTTTGCTTAGCAATCTGTGCTGACAGAATTAGGTGGCTGGTGGGGTGTCGATAGGTTTTGCTGTTTGCGTGGGGTATTTAAAGAGTTGCTGTGTACAGAGAGGGGCCTCGTGTGTAATGGAAAGCCTAAGTGGACCCACTATGCTCTGTGTGGTAGCTAATCGATGCTCTAATGGAAGCAAATGGCTCTTGATTGGAGTCAGTGCCTGGTTGCTGGTTTGCACGGGTGCTATGATGAGTCGGTCTCCATCACACCTCATGCCATGTATCATGTTTGTGCAGCTGTCTTTGGTATTTATTTATTAAATTAATGACCCGTGAGAGCCCCTGAGTGCTATGATGGCTCTACAGGTCGTCACATGACCCACGTTGTTGAGGCCCACCCGCCGGAAGGACAGTAGTTCACTTACAGCCCACCCACCCTTGGTGAGCTATGCTTGTCCAAACCGCTTACAGCCCCCTGATGTGGGGTTTAATTCTTTCCCATATTGTCCTCCTCTGTCGTAATGGTTCAGGATCCTAAAACTGTAAGCACTATTGTCTTTGGTCAGTGTAAGAGGATGGCTTTTTCTTATTTTCAGTGGAACTCTCCTTCCCCCTAGTGGTTACCTTTGGTATTTTTAATCAGCTGATGGTTTAGGTTGTAAATCGGTTGTTTTTAAAATTACATTTCACTGCTGCCTTTGTTCACATATATACATGTACATGTGAGGTAGATCATTTTCTTAATTTTGGACACTTACCATATGAGTGAACATATTTTGTGAAATTAAAATATCTGCTCTGTTGAGCTGTGATGTGACTTATTTTCGCTTGGACTGACAGGTGCATTTTTCTCCAATTTTATTCTTTATTCTGCATCTAAAGTTTGACACACTTTTTACTTTTTCCAGCCTAATAATCTGGAGAGGAATCATTGCTGCCTGTGTTATGATGCCCTATAATGCTTTTTCTGTTTATTGCATACATTTATTCCACCACTCACACGCCGTTAAAAACAAGCATCTGTGCTAAAATTGCTCGTCTATTTGTTCTTTATAAAGGAGCCATTAATTTTTTAAATTCCATTTCTTTTGAGGCAACCTTGAAAATACATGTGTTCGTTGTCAGTTCTGTGGACTGAGACTTTTTTTTCTCTTTCAGAAGGAACTGAGCCTTCCAAGAAGAGGCAGCTTGTAAGTACATTTTTAATATAAATTTTGCACTTGCCAAACTCTTAATTGACTAATGGTTCTGTCATTGAATAAAACCCGACAGAGGACTCAGAATGGCAAAACTCCTTTTTATCTATTGAAAAATAAAGAATAAAAGCGTTGATGGTGAAGAACGTGAAGAAATGCCAAGGATACTGTGTCCTTTCACGCCTGGTTTGCCACTCAGATCTGCTGAAACGTCCACCTATTATTAAGGCTTGAAATCTAATTACTAGTTTCAGAAGCCTTTCCTACCCAGCTGTTGCCGAAGACCTTCATTACTTATTGTGGTGTAGTTTAACATCTTCAAGCAGGCTGGGCATTGTAAATGTCTGTGGTTTTGCATCTTGAGGCCCGTTTTGATTTTTGGAACCCCCAGGTAGTGTTCCTGAGACCTTTGTCTGGAATGACATACCACAGCTGAAAAATCTGGCCTGTTGCCCTGAGCAATTTGTAGGGTTTACTTTACAAACCACAGATGTTTGAGCACTAAGTATCGCTGTCTGTGCTGTGTTGCCTGAATTGTCAACTGGGGTCTGACTGAGTGACATTAACTCTGAGTGTGGACATCAGAGAAACCCTCCGTAGGTTTGACAGCGTGTGCTGCTGAGCTGTGCGGCTTGGGTCAAGAGGATTCCCCTTTTCCCTGAATTTAGCTTTACTTGGAAACCCTGATGGCCTTGCGTGGAGTGTGTGGGGGGGGGAGTAGGGGGCTAGTCTGAGCGGCAGAGTAGTGGTGGCTCCTACCGCAGCACCTGTCACACTGTGAACAGGCCAGCAGGACAAGGCCACTCAGGGGACTGGTCTTGGTTCCTACTTTGTTCTCAGATAAGCTCTTTAAAGCCACCATTTGATATGCTGAGATGTGGCAGATCTGTGAACTTCCTGTGTCCCAGCACTACTGCAGATAAAGGAACTTTAACACAGAACCAAATATATAATTATTATGTCAATTACAGATTCACTGTGTTCACTCTGCTCAGAGTAGGTTATATAAGTTGTGTACTGTGACTGGGGTCAGAAGTTATTGTGCAAAGAAGTGCAAAAACCCAAACCAGCCTCCTGCTCTTTGTTGTGCGTGTGCGTGTGCGTGTGTGTGTGTGTGTGTGTGTGTGTGCGTGCGTGTGTGCCTGGAAAAAGAGCCAAGCGTTTCAGCAAAATCCTCACTGTGGGTGTCCTGAATCTTGTGCTTGTAGCCATGCAATCTAAAGTTCAACTTATTTTGAACCCTTCAGAGTTGTCCAAGGCAGCCTGGATTTTTAAAAGCGTGTTTGTATTTCCATGCGTAACTCCAGCCGTCTGGCACATCAAGACGGGTCATGCTTGGATCATCATGCTGCTCAGGTTTTGCTCCTCTTGGCGCTTTCCATGGCACGGCCTCTAGAGGGCAAAGTGCTGATTGTCATAACATCCGTTTTGTTTAGTGAATCGCGGATGTTTCTGGGCATGGCACAGAGCGTTTTCACGTGTGTTACACAATCGCTGGCAATACCCTAATTGCGTTCTTGACCCTGTGGCTGGGCCTGTCAGTGCTGTAAGCACAGTGGATTAACCTGATGTTTATTATGGTCTGTGCCCCCATGCCTCGGCCTCTGCCAAGGTATTGTTTTTCCTTCCACTTGTGTGAGTGCGGGGTGGGGCTTCACTGTTCCCATGATTCTCAGAACAGTGCCTGAGTCATAGAGGGGGCTATAGTGAACCTGACGTGCTGGTAACAGCTGAACTGCTCTCTGGAGTCTTGTGACATCACAAGAATGCTCACCGGCCTCACGGCAGCTCTGGGGGTCTTGGCCGAGGTGAAAGTCTGTGCATTAGCTCCCCTCTCAGCTGCTGCTTCTCGTATCCCCATGCTGGATGCTGCTGTCCTCCTGGTGGCAGTCTCCTGCTTCAGTTGTCACTGATGCCCAGCATAGGCCGGTTCATGCTGGTGTTGACGTAGGCGGGCCCCTTTTACACTTCAGCCCTCTGGGATTGGCTCTCCTGGGCAGGAGGACAACTCTGCAGTTCCACCTGACCTCAGGCTGCACCCGTCCTTCCCCAGCTGTCCCAGTTCTGACAGGGGATCCGAAGAGTGAGGGCGTAACCACGCTTGTCCTCGTCAGCACCTTCCCGAGAGAGTCCGTTAGCCTCTTTGCTGGTTGTAGATCGTAGTCATTGGTCTCTGCGCAGGGCCACGGGGTGCCACAGGAAAGCCCTGAAGAGCAGCCGTGATGCCATCGCACCAGACGGTCTGTTTCCCAATGTCCTTCTAGCTTCCAGTGCTTGTTTTGGGCTTTGGGGCTCCAGGAACAGCATCAGCTAACATTTGCAATTAGCATATATGGGGAATATTGTCAAATGAGCAGGAAAGTTGTATGAAATGTACGTTAAGGCGAGCTCCTATGCACACTGTAATGCGATGATCTCCCTCGGAATCTGCTAAATGTGGCAGCATCACTTATCCTGCAAACATGGGTCGCATTGCTTTGTCACGGTGGAATAAATGATGCTGATTTTTCCTGTCACTGGTGGTGTTATGCCCATTTGGCTATGAGTCAAAGGCAGTTCGATTTAAATTTTTTCTTAATTGCTGATATCGGTTGTTTCTTAATTACCCTGTTAGCATTATTTGTCGTGATTTCTAGTATTGCTGCCGATGGCTCAGTCGTTGGAGCCTGTGAGTTTGGGGCCGGTCGTGAGGTGGAGATGAGCGAGCCTTTCATCCTCCTGCAGACATGAAGAAGAGGGATAAACCCGGAGCGCCGCACCTGCGCATCCAGTAAGCCTGTGCCAGGACACGCGTGACCTTATGCCGATCTGCGTGTGTATGCGTGTGTATGCGTGTGTATGCGTGTGTATGCGTGTGTATGCGTGTGTATGCGTGTGTATGCGTGAGAGAGGGTACACAGTGTCTGGAAGGCACTCTTGGGAAGGTATCTTCGTACTCACACAGCATGTAATTCCCCGGGTTTGTAGGCTTGACTGATGACACGGGGGGGTCTTCACAGTGTGTCAGTGGGGGTCTGTTTTCAGTGAATGACAGAGGCAGCTGCAGGCTCAGCTTACATCTCCTCTAACCTGACCTGATGCTGTGGAAAGAGTTCGCCCTCAGCCAAGGTCTCCCAGTTGGGTTGGGGGTGGGTGAGGAAGCAAAGAGGGAAATCCTTTGTCAGCAAAACAGTGTTGCAAGACACCACCAAAGTGCCTCTTCCGCAGTGAGGTGGTGACGCAATACTGGGCCACCGTGGCTGCTTCTTGGTCTTCGCTTGGTGCCAGCTGTCTCCTCTGTCTTGCTGTTGGTGGCCTAGTTCTGTCCCCGTCTCTGCTGGGCCGGTGGGTGGCCCGGCTGGCCGAATGTAGGCACAGCCCGTATGGGTCCCTCCCAAATGGCCGGCGAAAAGCCCAGACTCACCTCACCAGCCGGACGCCTTATTTGTGAAGCTGATTGCGCACAGGTGCAGTCAGTCATCGGTGTCCCTGGGCCAGTCTGGCTGCAGGCACCTACAGTCTGTGCGTCAGCGTCACTTCCCCATGTCTGATCGCCGCCGTCGTTCCCCATGCCAGAGCTGGCATGCGACATCATTCCATGTCTTGACAGAATGAGAGCTTAGATTTTTGGGTGGGGGTGGGGGGGCTCTCATCCTCTCTTTTTGGGCGGGGGGAGGGAGCCCTGACAGGGCTGAGCATCCTCCCACGTCTCATCCACCCCAGCTCTGCTGCCTGACAGGTCGTCTGCGTTCCTCTGCAAATCCATCAGGCCCATGATTGTCACTCCTTACAGTTACCACTGGCTCTGAAACTTCAAAAATAATTACCTTAAGGCACCTTGTTGACATAACCAGCCTCTGGTAGAGAAGTGTTTACAAGAAGAAATGTGGCTGGCGGTTCGAGTGTGGCCAGGCGGGTTGCTGTTATCGCACACTGGGGTACTTAAGCCAGACTGCTTCAGTAAAAGATGCAGCTGCGTGAACTGTTAGTGCGGAGTTGTGAGCATGAGCCAAGCAGCTAATAACGAGAATATACATTCATTTCTGGGAATGGGTTTGTGATGTGGATTTGGCCCAGTGCTCTTGCCACAGCTGTAGGGCCAGTAGTCTGGGCTTATTCCGAGGAGCCCATCTTAGATGGAGGATGACAATCAGAGCTCGTTTAACCAAAGGCTCCACAGTCATGGTCTTATGTGAAGCTCTCAGTAAGTTCACTCTCTCATCATTCTCTCTGGTAATGACCCATTCGTTGCTCGTGGGATGTATGGCATCTCAGAGCTAGAGGGAGTATTAGGACACACAGGTTGACGTGCACATACATCATAAATATAGCTGGTTCACCTGTTTTGCTGTTGTTGACTGGTGGTGGCTCACAAGGTCTCTCAGCTCCACCCTTAGCAAGCATTGCTATGATGTGGCGGAATTTCCTGAGGGGTGTCTCTTTACTCCATGCACACGCACACACGCGTCCCTGATCTCTGCACTGTCACTGGGAGACCCAGTTTAGGTGGGCCCTCCCCTGGCCCCCAAGCTCCAATACGACCCCCAAGTTAGACGGCCGCGGACTGGCCCTGAGTGAGGGGTATCGGTTGTGTTTGTGAATTTGATCCACCGCATTTCTGGCTAAGACCGCTATGGCGTGATTGGGTGACCTGCTATTTCCTTGTACAGGCATTGCCTCCGGAGCACCCCTCTGATTGGCTCTGCTTGTGTAGCTGTTAGGGATAAAATAAAAAAAGCATTCTGTAGGAGCTGGTAGCTGCTTTTAGGCACGTATACAAGTGCTGGTGATGTGCCCTGACTGTCACCGTGCCTCCGTTTCCTCTCTTTCACCCTTCACCTCCCTCTGGTTCCCTACCTAGAATCTGGCCAGCCACGCAGCACCGCTGTCATGGCAACAGCCTTCTCCAGCAGCTGCTCTCTCCCACCTTCTTCCCCGGCTCTCTACACTCTCATTGTGCAGGGGACCTTGAGGGGCCCATGTCTGCCCCAATTCTAGGCCCCTGCAGCTCCCTG